CTGAAAGAGACAGCTACTTTATGGAGCGGTATAAGGAAACAAAGTTTTTCCTTCCAGCATCTTTAGTGATCGATTGTATATATGACGTCTGGGATGAACTTTCGTCCCAATAGATATTTAAACCTAAACTCATCAAGATTGCAACTGTTATTGTCAAAAATATCCAGTACCAAACACTTTGTTCAAAAATAATTTCACATCAATAAATATCCTATTATAATTGTCCTTTGTTAGTTCGCACGACCATTTCGCCCTGCCAATACCTCATAAATAATGGACTATTCTGTTTTGATTAAAATTAATTCAAAGATGAAAAAGAAGAGAAGGTAGAATTGTTTAATGGCTGTTTCAGTGAAATATAAAAAGTCTGTCAATTTCAAATCTTTTCATTTGTACCTCCTCCTTAAAATAACCAGCATTTATATTTTTGTTGCAATATTTTGTTAAAGTTGTTAAGCTCAAATATTTAACGACATGATAGGGGAATTTCTACAGATATTTTATTGCCATAGAACTCGTCATGAGAAAAAGAATGTTAATCATTAACAGAAGAATTATGATTCATCAGAAATTTCAAATAGGAAAACCATGAAATGCACATACACACACGTATAGGTGTATATACACACGCACACAAAGAAAAATCAACCTAACACCAATAAAAAAAAGTGCATGTTATCTTTTTTTTAATATTAAAATAACAAAAACGAGAAAAATCGGTAGACATTTACTGATACCTCCTAATGAGTGGACTGAACAATTACAAAAAGATTTGTCTATGAAACTGGAGTAGAGGAGCTGAATATAACATCAGCTAAATGACAAATTTTATATTTGTATTTTTATATATATATATATATATATATAGGGTTGGACAAAACAATTGAAACACTTGTTAAATTCAAAGAAAATTTATTTAATATGCTTTAGCCTCACATACAGCTTTAATACGTCTAGGAATGGAAACATACAGCTTCCTGACTTCATCCAAAGGAATTTTCAGCCATTCTTCCATTAACACCTTCTCCAGCTCTTTAAGACACAACAGTGGAGAATAGCGGCTCCTAACTTGTCGCTCCAAAATGCACCACAAATTTTCAATAATATTGATATCTGGAGATTGGGGAGGCCACTTCATATGTTCTAGCTCACTTTTATGCTCTTCATACCAATTCTTAACCAGTCGAGCGGTATGTATTGGAGCATTATCGTCTTGGAAGATGCAATCACCATCAGGGAATAAAGTCATTGGATGAACAGGATCTCCCAAACTGTTCAGGTAATCTTTCCTGTTGATTCTTCTATGCAGGCCAACTGTGGGACCGAAACATTACCATGATATGGCGGCCCAAACTATCACTGATCTACCTCCATGTTTCACCGTTGGAAGAAGGCAGTCAGGGTTGTAAGCTTCTTTGGGCTGCCTCCATACATAAACTCGCTCTGAAGTTGGGAAAAGAGAAAAACTGGATTCGTCTGAGAATATGACTTGCTTCCATTGGTCTGCAAACCAGGGATTGTGATCTCTGTACCACTTCAACCTCTTCTGAATGTTGAGAGTGGAGAAAAGAGGTTTCCTTACGGCGGCTCATCCATGATAGCCAGCCTTATGGAGTTCACGACGAACAGTTTTAGCAGAAACTGGACTATTCAGATGATTATTCAACTTAGCAGTCATTTTGGCCGCAGTAGTCTGATGAATTTTTGTCACATTGCGTTTCAATGCACGTCAGTCCCTGTCATTAGGCTTGCAAGTCCAGCCTGAATTGCTACGGTTTTAGGAGGTTTTGCCCTGTTTCTCGAATTGTGTCATCGTTATATATATATATATATATATATATATATATATATGGTAGCTCTTAAAAGACCAAACAGTTCAGCAACCTTAGTGATCGAGACTCCTGCCATGCAAGCTCCAACAATTTGCCAATTTTAGAGCTCAGAGAGGTCACGCATTTAACTGAAATTTTACTAAATTCTAAAAATAAATAAGATAAAGACAGTAAATTAGATAAATAAATGTATTTACAATAGATATAACCTGCAATTACAAAGTTTTAGTTAAAGTTCTTAATATAATAGGTCTTTGAAATATAGGAGTAGAGTTTGCAACTGTTCGAATTATTTTGTCCAACCCCTGTATATATATATATATAAATAATTGGAACATTAATATACGTTCAAACATAAAACAGACAGTCGCCATTCGGTGTTGACCTCTTATATTCGCACACGCTTTATCCGGGATATTGAGCACATTTACCCTATAAATATAAAATAATTTAAAACTGATATATATATATAGTAAGGAATTAGTGAAAAATAATCTTTTCTTATTTTATTGTCAACAATCGTTCTGTACAAACATTTTCCAAACAAATGAAAAATCTAAGGAAAAAATTGTTACCATGGTAACTTTGCTGTCGTTAATTTGAAAAAAAATTAATTTTCAGTTTTTAAGAACTTTGGTGAACCATCTGATCCATCCAACAATTGACCTATTAGCCTCCTGCCTCTTTTGGGGAAAACACCTAGAGGCCCTAATCAATGCTGAATTTGTTCATCATCTCTCATCACAGGGCCTTTTCTCAGACAAGAGATACGACTTTGATTTCACCATGTCAACTGCTGATAATTGCGGAAAGAGTTTATCGTGCTTTAGATAAAAACATTGAAGCTCAGACTGTATCACTGGGTATCTCAAAAGCCATTAACAGGGTCTTGAATTCAGGTCTTCTCCACAAGCTGAAAACTACAGTATCTCCGGGTACATTTTTGAGTTAATCCAGTCTTTCCTATGAAATCGTAACATGAAAGTTGTCCTGAACGGCCACTCGTCTACACCCTTTCGTACTAACAGAGGTGTCTGTTATTCAAATGGATGCATTTAAGCAAAAAAGCCATTATTGAAAAATACCATAGAATAAGACGAAAACAGTGGGCAATTTAATATCTGCTGTGGGATAATAAAAAAGTGTTATACAGTGACGAAAGCAAGATAGAACTGAATTATAATCTGGTTACTGCCCTTGAAAAGGGCTTCCAACAAGTGGTTAACTGGGGACAGGAAATGGCTTGTAAATTTTAACACCTCGAAAACAAAACTGTTCTCATTTAACCACCATAGAGAAACTTTTCTGCCTGCCATCAGCATGGCTGACGCTAGCCTCCTGTAGAGCAACGCAACACCGGCCGTCATATGACCCATGTGACTTATTTCCGCCAAAGGAAGATAAGCACCTACTATCCTTACAACCATATTGAAGACGACACCACACAATGTCTCAATTTTTTTAAAGTAATTTTTAATGTTCCACCCAGAAAACGGAATAAAATTAGAATACACGCTGAATTTTCCACTAAATATCGTCCAGATTTTCGAACTTATAGAGAAATGTCACTACAAGTAGAATGAATCTTTATTCCACGGGCTTGTAAATTAATCCAATTAGAACACAAGCGATTAAATATATTATAGCTCATATAACAGACCAGGGATTAAATCCTGAAATACTACCCAGGTGTGTGTAGACAGCAAAAACAACGACGAAACTGAGTTTCATCAAAAGTAACAGAAACTGTCCGTTCAACATGAAGATCAAACTGAGTCATTTCAGTAGTCTTGTTCCCCCCCCCCCTTTGAGGCGGTGAAATTTTAACTTAAGTTTGCTTAATTTAACCACATACTAACCCTTGGGTTATTTTAGATCGAATATAACTCTTACAGGACAAAAATTAGAATTAGTTAAGCGAATTGTTCAACCTGGTAAATTGCATGTGTCCCGCACCACACACTCTCTCCATCATAGTACAGGCTTCCACTTCGTTTAATTTGTAACGTATATAAATGTAGGTAGGAAAAAAACAAATGTTGAAAAGATAGCAGGGTCACAAATCATAGCCCGGGGCCTCCAATCGAGTTTACCACCCTTCCCCCGATCGATAGGTACAATGAGTTGCTCTCCTGCAGGTCATCATCTGTCATGCTGGTGAATGGCAAAAACAACGTACTCAGCATTAAGTAATAGTGTATTAATAGTAATTAATGGTGTATTAATAGTAATTTAAAATAAAACGTTAAAGATTTTATTTCTAGATTTCAGGTTCTGTTCATAAAAGCATTTTGAAAAAATAAGTTTTTTTTATATTTTATATATATATATATATATATATATATATATATATATATATATATATTATATATATATATATATATATATATATATATAGATATTTAATATCTGTTAAATAAGTTTAACATTCATATATATATATATAGATAGATAGATAGATAGATAGATAGAAACAGACTTAAATAGCTATCTAGATAGATTGATCTGAACATACTCAGATAGATAGATAGATAGATAGATAGATAACAAAATTAGACAGTGAGATAGATAGATAGATAAGAACAAAATTAGACAGCGAGATAGATAGATAAGAACAATCTGGATCCAGATAGATAGATAGATAGATAGATATTATTTCACATACGCGCATTTTTTTCTTTTATATTGATCGCATTTTCTCCACTAAGTGGCAATAACCAGCCTGTAACTGCCAAGGAAACCAACCTTTTGCGGAAACACAACAGCAGAGTTTGTTACAGCCATTCTCATTCTGCTTTCATTTATCAAGCGATTTACACACCTGGGAAAGAAGCAGAAATTTTTCGTTTGATTGGCACATAACACTTATGACCAGTTCCATTTCTACAATATATATTTGTAATACTTAATTTAATTTTTTAATAAACTTCCATCAGATGACATGTGACAATAAAGCAAGTCAACGGATCGACTTCACATCGACGTGGTTGGCCGAGTGGAAGTGAGACTGGTTGGATATTTTTTTTTCTTTTCTTTTTCCGCCAGCAGAAAACGCCTGAGTCGGATATTAAATGTGCAGACTTGCCAACGAACTGATGGTCCCAATATAGCGGACATATTCTGACAGACAACATGAGCCTATTCAATTTTGATATATTTTGTACCTGTATGTTAACAACACTTGTCAATTTTGCTTTTATAGTCAACGGTAAGTTGCTTGTTTTTCTTTTATTTCATAAAAGACCGCCAAGATAACGTAATAATTAATGACTTACATTTTTCCTATGCTTTTGAATAATTTAAACAAAAAATGTATAAATATAGGAAGATTATCTACTCTTGAGTACTGAATAGGAGTGCCGGCATGATAAAATACTTTTCTTCAGTTCTTTCTCATCACTCTCACTAGCAGGGTCTTTATTTTTAACGACACGCTTATTGTTTTTCAAATAAGAATTATTTTGCCCCACGTTTCTTCTTCCAATGCCGTGTCCCATCAGAATATGAGTGGTCATGGTTCTCCACAACTTTCTCTCCTTTCTAGTTCTTAGTATTTGTCTTTTCGCTATCTTAATAATAATAATAATAATAATTCTTCAGGACGTTGGCGTCCATAGCTCTCGGCTCTTTTTAGCTCTCTGAGTAATGTCTGTCTTTTTGCTATTCTTAATCCCTGTTCTGCCAACACAAACTCGTTAGGTCGATTATTCGTTGCTTTCCTCTGCCCCTCTTATCCTAGAATACATCCTCTGAGTATGAAATTCCCCAAACCCTTCTTATGCATCCTCAGAATTTCATCTCTTTCTGATGTTAAATATAAGTGTCCTTTTTTTTTTTTGTTTCTATTTTCTCTAAAACCTCATCGTTGCTTACATGCTCAGTCCGTGGTAATTTCAGCATCCTTTTGTAGAATCACATTTCTCTTGCTTCAGATCCCTTCTTCATATGTGAGGTGATTGTCCGGCATTCACTGACATATAGGAGGGCCGATATTACAAAATTTACATAAAATTTCCTAACAGAACGTTTATTTGCACCGGCACGCTTATTAGGCATGTTGAGAAATTCATAACGGCATGACTATTCCAGGCGACACTTTTATTTAGTACTAAAGTGTATCCCCGCTTCTATTCATGTCTAATATCCCAAAATTATATGAACCATTTCCGGCCCTTTCCTTCAATTCATTTTCATTTTCTTTACATTTGTAATTTAAAAAAAAAAAACATTTTAGGAGGAAAGCGTTAACAAGAGTGTCGTTAACTGCATTTAAATCAACAGATCGAAGAATATATGCGTGTTTGTGTGTGTGTGTGTGTGTGTGTGTAATATTATAAAATATAGTTTGTTTGTTTTTTTTCAATTGGACTCCAAATGTAAACATTTGAATCAAATATATTCTTCGATCTGTTGATTTAAATCCAGTTAACGATACGTTTGTTAACATATTTTGTTTATATATATACTTTAAAAATTAGAAGTTCAATTGAATCCGCTAGCTTGAATGACCACCTATGATTATACGTAGATCGTACAATCATAGGTTGTCATTCAAGCTAGTAAGTCTTAGGAGTTCTAACAAACTAGCTAACCATGTGTGGAATTTAAAAAAAAAAACTGCAAGGATCCGATTGTAAACTGGAAAAATTTTTAAAAGGCGAAGATTTATAATAATCACAATAATATTTGCAACCTCTGCCAGCAAGAAGAATTAGCAATTATGGCATTTCCGGATCCAAGGAACCTTTTGAACCAGAAATCCGAAGTCATGAGTCCTTGCATACATATTAGGAAATTCCTCTTAAGCACATTTGAGGCTGAATGAAAAAAAATGTACATTTCAATTAACACCCCACCCCACAATTTATTATACCCTTGCTTTTCTTCTCTTACCCCTTTTATCCTTGATAAAAATCGTATGAGGATACCGTAAGTTTGAAACCAAGGTAGCAGATTCAAATGATCTGATTTTTAATGTTAAAAGCTCTACATGTTATTTTTATTTTTACTTACTTATTTATTTATTTTGTTTTGTTTACACGTGTATTGAGCACTTTTTAATACTACTGTTCCCTGGTCTAATTCAGTGACTTTATATATACTATATATGAATATATATTTGATTGTAATACACGGAAAATATTCGTGAATATGAAAGGATTATGCTAAAAATAAGCAGACATAACTTTTGTAATTTATTTAATCAGACATGCTTACAAGAGAATTTGCTGCCTAAATACACACACACACACACACACACATATATATATATATAGTCATCGACAGGCAGACCGTTTCGCTGTATCACAGCTCATCAGTGAGGATAGACATGCGATTGCTTCATATATATTCTTTTGTTTGTTTTTTTTCTTCTTAGTTTATTTTTTTTACTTTCACTTCTGTTGTTTTTTCTCTTGGCTTTGTTTTATTGGTTGTTATTTCTTTTTATTAGATTTTTTTTTTTTTGGTCACCTAGCAGTCTTTGTGTTCCTTGACCAATACTTTGGGTGGTTGTGATATATATATATATATATATATATATATATATATATATAGGATTAATATAAAATGTGTCACTTAGCTGATTAATGTTATATTCAGCATCCCAACTCCAGAACTCAAACTTTTTCGGTCCACTCGTCAGGAGGTATCAACAATTGTCTGAGGATTATCAAAAAGTTGCAAAAAAAAAATAATGCGTTTTTTGATGGTGTTAGGTTGTTATTTTTCTTCTTTTTCTCTGTGTGTGTGTATGCGCGTCTGTATGTGTGCGTATACGCCTTTACGTGTGTATAAGTGTACATGTGTAGAATGTCGTGATTATTTTTCCCCTTTTCTTGATTTTCTTGTTTCCTTACACTCTCTCATTATACTTTTCTTCCTTTATATATATATATATATATATATATATATATATATATATATATATATATATATATATATTGTATATTTGGGTAGCAAGCTTTCTTTTATGCATGTTTCATTAAATGCAATGGATAAGAAAAATGTTATAACTTTTTATTCAGGTTTTCTTATGGGTTTTTTTTTCTTTTTGTAAGACTGAGTGAGTGTAGAAAAGGGTTCATAGTGATTATTGTTCCAAGCGAATAAAAATTAATTAGATATTTTCAAAAGGTTCGTTCTTAGTAAATCTTTCTATGTTTACATTGTCAGCTGTATTGTATAGAAGTAGTAGTAATTCTGGGATGTACTGAACGGTTGTAGGAATAATTCCATGTTGGGATACAGGTCACAAGACCTACCTGGCGTTGGGTGATTTCTTTAAAACACCCCGAACACACCCCGTGAGTTTCAAAATATCACCGGATTGAGGTTTGGTTTAAACTACTTTATATAAAATGCTATTGTTATCTATAAACTTTATAAACTATTACTGTTAACTTTAAATGTTTTTTACTGTTAATCGTTCTTAGAATTATCTACAAGCGTTTTTTCTTTGGGGAACAGGGAATTGTTTATGGGTGTTTAAGTTTATATATATATATATATATATATATATATATATATATATATATTCATTCTAGGGAGAGATTAAAGTTGTTCCAACGACAGAAAAATGTATATTTTAAGGAGTATAGAGACGTTTTTGGTTATAATGTGAATTTGTTAAATATATATTATACTCTAGTTTCCATATTTTTGCCACACGCGTTTCGAGGCTTGCGACCTCCATCAGGCGAAGACTTGTCATTTCCACATATTATTTAAAAGAATTAATATTTTCTTATGTTTTTCGATGTTTATCCATTTTCTTTTTGTGCAGTAGTAATCCAAATTTTCTGGATAAATAAGAAGAAAGATTGGATTACCACTACACACTACGGCTTCCCTCTATTCTTTAATATATATATATATATATATATATATATATATATATATATATATATATATATATATATATTGCATTCGAACAAATATAGTACCACTACATCAATGCATTAACGTTTCGATGCATATCATAGCATCTCATCAAGTGATGGTAAATGATGGTTATAACAATTTTTAATATTACTTAACATAGACAATTTTCATTGGTTAAACTAATTCTCAACATATCTTGTCTAGCCTTTTTACATATCCATATCATCCACATATTTATCTTTATCTCTTCTTTTTTCTTCGAAGAAGAGATTATATCTTGGATCTTTCTTCTCTTCTACCTCTTCTTATTTTTCTTTCTTCTTTTTTTTCTTTTCTAGAGACTATATCTTGTTTTTTTTTTCTTTTCTTTTTCCGCTATATCTTGTGTCTGTCTTTCTTCCTTTTCCTTTTGAGGAGATTATATCTTATGTCTTTATTTATTATATTTTTTTCGCGCAGAAGAGATGTTTTATAAGTATTATTAAAAGAATGTTATAAACATCATTTACCACCCCCTGATGGGATGCTATAAAGTGCATCAAAACGTTAATGCATTGATGTAGTGGTACTCTATATGTTCGAATGTAATATCCTATAATAAAGAATTATCGCTCTGCTTGTGTATTGAGCGCTATTTTTAATGTTATGAACGTTTGAATTTATATTTGATTCGCTCTCACCGCATTTGTGTATATATATATATATATATATATATATATATTGAATATATTGAGTGTGTGTGCGTCTGTGTGTGTGACGCGTTTATAACTTCCTAGGGATAAAGTGTTGTTTACGTTGATGTCACTACACATGCGCATGAGTGAGAGAGAATACTGAAATTTTAAATTTAAACTTAATTTTTTTTTAATATTTCTTTTCGGTATATACTCCAGCCGATTTCATTTAGTTTCTTTTTTTCTTTTTGGTTATGTTTGAATTACCTTTGTTATTAAATATCCCACATTGTGTGATAATAATAGATCTGCTAAGAAAAGAGAAATCTTGTCAAAAAATGGAGGTAAATCTACTGTGTATGATCTAGGGATTAAAGCATGTTCTATACGCTTTCCTCTTAGTAAATTGCGTTCCCTTTTAATTAGAGTAGCATATTTTAAATCGAAATTATGTTCAGACTCATCACAATCAGCAATTAATGCACTGTGTGTGTTATTTTGTGAAAGATAACTTTTGTGTTCATGTAATCTTTTTTCCCCACTTTGTCATCGAATTTCCAAAATTATTGTTCATATATATATATATATATATACATATATATAGTTTTCCCATATAATACATATATGTGTATGTGTGTTTGTGTGAGTGTAT